CGGTAAGTTTGTGTTATCTTTTTACAGTATTCTTATAAATGTGTGCATGTACAGAAACTGATGTAAGGGTATCAGCGACACGACTGCACTCTCGCTAGCGGGGAGGGGCACAGTAGTCGCGGAGAAACGTTCCATCCGCTCTACGCTGCTTCCCCGGTTTCCTCGATCTTTGAACACCCTGTATTACTAATTATGAATATATTTTTTTTTAAATGAAGTGTGATTTTGAATATTTCGAATATAAGCCACACCCCAGTTTTCCTCTTGAATTTTTGGCAAAAAATGTGCGGCCTATACATGCGTAAATACAGTACTTTCTCTAAAGGCAAAAAACTCATTAGGTTAAGACGGAATAACAAGTAAAATTTTAAAAGTTGGTACATCACTGATCAGTCACCCATTAACTCACATTTGTAATCATTCGCACTTGACTGGGATCTTCCCTAACTGTCTTAAGATTTCAATAGTAAGACCACTATAAAAAAAAAAGGTGACAAATTTAGTATGTCAAACTACAGATCAATCTCACTATTAACTACTTTTTCTAAAGTACCTGAGAAAGTTATGTACTATAGACTAAGCCATTATTTGCAGACTAATAATATACTGGTCCCTGAACAATTCGGCTTCAGGAAGGGAATATCCACCGAAAACGCAGCCTTTATGCTAACAGACAGTGTATTAAAATTTAGTAACCAGAATATGCATGTAGGTGGAATATTCTGTGATTTAGCTAAACCTTTTGATTGGGTTAATCATGAAATTTTGTTAACTAAATTACAATTTTATGGTATTCAGGGAACAATGGCAGGTTGGTTCAGATCATACCTTGTAGATCGAAAACAAAAGATTGAAATAAAATCATCTAATGCAACCCAAAGTACTTATTCAAAATGGGGAACAATAGAGCATGGAGTTCCTCAAGTATTTACATTACAAAGAAAACTACCGAATTCCTACACCCTAAAGATGACTCGTCCTTTTAAAAGGTTATGTACATAGCATAAGATGACAGTATTGACAAATATATGTGGATATATTTTTGTTGTTGTTGTGTCTCAGTTGTACTGTATTTATAGCTTTTGTATTTGTATGACTTGTTCCACGTCCTACAGTCATTCTGCCTTACTTTGGATCTACGGAATGTAATGTATGTATGTATGAATGATTAAGTAGCAATAACCATTACATTTAAAGAGCTGGGATAGTGTAGCCAGTATAGCGACTGGCTACAGGATGGACAACCAAGGGTTGGAGTTTGAGTGCTGGTAGGGGCAAGAATTTTCACTTCTCCTATCTTCCAGACCAGCTCTGGGGTCCACCCAACCTCCTATCCAGCTTAATTAGTTAAGCACAGGGACAACTTTACCATACCATTACACTTAAGTACAATTAGAAACAAAACACAGTTTTAATAAAACATAAAGCAACAGCTTTTGTGTATTCATGAGCTATTTTGCAAGAACAAAAGTGGTACACACAGCATTTCATGTGCCCATTAGAGTAAAATTTCAGGGAAAACCATCTTGAGCATTAAATAAACCAAGAATAAAAGAGTGTTTCATTTGCTGCTACAAAATACATATTTTCACCAGGATTAAATGGCCAGCAGAATGGATGGATTACTTCTTAGCCTTCATATATACAAAGTATTCCTTTTAAATATCTTCAGCAGAACTCATGGTGAGATAACAAAGGCTGAAGTAATCATGTGAACAGACTAATCTTTCAATAACAAGAACTTTATTGCTCTCTTCACTCAGTTCTCAGTAATATTTATTCACACCCAGATGATCACAACAGAAACATTACATCAACACAGAATTTGCATCTACACATTGCATCTACTGAATAGTTCTGCATAAGAAAAGAAAATGACACTCATCAGAACAATTATCTCCATGTACACAACATGCAACTGGTGTTCTTGTTCTGAAGGGGGGGAACCTGTATATTATTCAATCAGACATCTATTTCACATGCTACACCATGTATATATCCAGACTACAGCAGTAGTTCTGCTTGATTATGGTAAATAAAACCATGGTACAAACACAGCCTATCATTATGTGACACCAACATTGTACATGTATTTTCACGGCTGTCTGTTAACTGGTGATACGTCTTTTTTTCCCCCCTTCATTTTGTATCTCTGTAATTGCCTTCAGAGACACTGGTCAGAAAGAACCCTGTACAACTACCAGATTCATGTTGTCAGGCTCATATAAATTTAATACATTAAATTCTGATGTCTATAACATGAATACTAGACAAAAATATAACTTCCACCTACCCTCATCAACTTTATCAGTATATCAAAAAGGAGTCTACTTTACTGGCATAAAAGTGTTCAACAATCTGCCACAAAGTATTAAAAACTTGGGCAATGATACTAAAAAGTTTAAATCAGAGTTAAAGAATTATCTACATGCTCATTCCTTCTACTCTTTAGATGAATACTTCAATGTAAATAGAGAATGATGTAAAATTAAGTTATATTAATTTTTAAGCTAAAATTGCCTGTACTTATGTATGTAACATTTTGACTTGTTCTGTATCCAAAGGTGGTACTAACCTGCTTAGGATTTATAGAATGTAAATAAATTCAATTTAATTCAATTCAATACCCACATCTGTAGACGATAATAACCTTTAGCTGAACACTTCTTATAAACTGTATATGCCTAACATATTACCGTATTAATACCATATAACTTTTCTACAACATTTTCAGAGGCATAATAGTGGGTTGAATATAACAGAAATAAACAGATCATTGAATAAAATGAAACCCACTGTATATAAATTTAAACATAAGCAGCATATCTCATGTCTCCTGTTAGATGTTCATGAGCCATACATAACACTGCAGTCATCGACTGGCCCAGAAACATAAGTTACCCACAGCATGCAACTAAATGCTGGTGGTTACCCTTGATTTTTTCAGCAGTTAACTATACAAGAAACAAATGCCCTTCAGAAGGTGTAGCAAAACAGACGTGAAAATGACCATAGACTACAGCAATTCTTCTGGCACTGCAGAGTGAAAACTTCTTCATGCAGCTAACCTACCTTCATCAATATCAGGGGGCAGCCCGCCAACAAAGACCTTCCTGGAATAGCGTTCTCCTGTCTCTGATCCCTGACTATGTGGGGAGGAGCGTGAAGGAGAGCTGAGGGGCGGTGCAGGCTGAGGCAGCACTTGGCCATCTACAAGGTGTGAAGCTGGATCCTCTAGTAAAGCTGCTTGTTCCTCGAGCCCAGGGAAGAATGGTGACTTGCCTGCACATACAAATGAAACATTATCAGTTAATGTCAAATATTCTTACAGCATGAATAATCTTCAAATGCCATAATCCATTAATTTCAGCAAACATTCAATATCACTGTGCTTGCAATCAGTGATAAGACAAAGCTTCCGGGGACTTTGTTATAGATAATGGCTGAGATGTGACCATAACTGCATAAAACATTTTTAAATAAAATGAAGTGCACATGGACTCAGTAAGCAAAACAAATTAATATTCGTTTTATCTCTTAAATATCAGATTAGACCTCACAAGCAACTACAAAATCTCTAAAACAAACTAAAATCTGAAGTCATCAGTGGAAGATAGAATGAAGAACTACACTTGCAGGGCTAATCTTATTTACATTCCTGAAATGGAATCATTTCTAAATTACTGTCACGTGTTGGGTATATGTCATGCGACAAATAACTTCACGCCATTTTGGATCAAGCAAATTTATTCCACTAACTCTTACACTTATACAATTCACAATTTCTCAATTACTGTCATCTGCACTATCACAATTTCTCAATTACTGTCATCTGCACTATCACAATTTCTCAATTACTGTCATCTGCAGTATCACAATTACGTCTCCTGCTGGAGTCACTGTCATTCACTCGATACAACTCAACTCGTAGCTGCTGAACTTCAACTCATACTGGATGCTAATAACTCAATACTCACTACTCCTGATTAGTGTTCGCTGCTCCTTATTTAGGCTTGGCACGGACAACATAGAGAACACACTGCTGCTTGGCAACAGATATCAGGTATTGTTGTCAGGTGTTTCTACCTACACACTACCTAGCAATAGTCTCTGGATGGACTCGCCTGTTGCGTGACATCACAGCCTAGCGGGGAGTGGTGTTTACCAAGTGTTGCGTAATGATGGAAGGAGTGGGGGTATCTGACGTCATTCGCGAGAACGCAGAGTTCACGTGAGCCCTACTTCCTGTTGTGCCATCCACGTCACAGCGGGGAGGGGTGTTTACCAAGTGTTATGTAATGATGGAAGGAGTGGGGGTATCTGACGTCATTCGCGAGAATGCAGAGTTCACGTGAGCCCTACTTCCTGTTGTGCCATCCACGTCACAGCGGGGAGGGGTGTTTACCAAGTGTTATGTAATGATGGAAGGAGTGGGGGTATCTGACGTCATTCGCGAGAATGCAGAGTTCACGTGAGCCCTACTTCCTGTTGTGCCATCCACGTCACAGCGGGGAGGGGTGTTTACCAAGTGTTATGTAATGATGGAAGGAATGGGGGTATGTGACGCCACTCGCGAGACCGCAGAGTTCACGTGACCCCTACTTCCTGTTGCGCCATCCATGTCACACTATTTTAACACATAGAGAAGAACCTTATTATCAATTTATCTGGTTACTGTGAGATGCTGTATCAACCATTAAGGTTATAAAGAACAACCAGAGCTACATTACAAAAATGATCAGCAATGGTGGGAGGATGGCTGCAGTGGTCCTGTAAGAATAGAGGAATCCAACAGCAAGACTGGAGTGGGTTAAAACTGAAGATACACTTAAAGACTTTCACATATTTTGATCATGATGGGTACAAAAAACAGAAAGGTATTCAAAACATCTAGAAATTCAATACATTATCCTACATGCTGGAAGGTCACAGTAGAGTCCCGATGAGGTCATTGGATTTTTCAATTGACCTAATCCTTCCAGTTGCACTTGGCCATGGGGTTGATTCAGCCTCTTAGCAGAAATGAGTACCAGGAATCTTTCCGGGGGTAAGGAGCAGCCAGCATGTAAGACTGCCAACCTTAACGCCATCTGTGAGCTGAATGTCTAGAAAATGAGGGAGCCTCAACATCTCAAAACCCTATGGGCCTCCATGGCCTGTTACAGGGATAGCTTTACCTTTATTACAAGAATTCTGAAGGAGACTGTGCCTGATACCAGTCAGAAATTTGTTTACCAATGAAATGGGCCTAAATAGATGACTTGAACAGGAACCACAGTTTTACATTCACAGCTTTTACTTGCAGCCACATATACTGTCTCTGGTTCTCTGTCCAGTTTCCAATGTTATTGCTGTTTTACAAACTTACTGCATTGTGAAACCTTTTGAACACCAAAAAGATTCACTGATTCTTACACTAAAAGAAATATCTGAGGGAACAATGAGAAAATAAAACAAAACAGAAAAGGTTTCAAGGGAACTAACAATGCTGTATCATGCAGCCTTTTCCACTTGGCACATTCACAACACATTCATATCTGCATATGATAAAAGAGGCTATGAAAACATATCTTTTTATTTCTACAATATCAAAATTTATTCTTTCCAAACACTGACAACATACTATGTAAATATTTGGTAAATAAAACTTCATACAAAATTACTTTACCACAAGAAATTGTAATGAATTCCATGGAACTCTTACTCACTCACTCTCTTCAGTCCAAATTTTCTCCTCAACACCCTGTTCTCAAACACCCTCACTCTATGTTTCTCCCTTAATGTCAGAGGCAAAGTTTCACACCCATACAGAACCATGGGCAAAATTAAACTTTTGTATATTCTAATTTTTATTTTTTTAGATAGCAGATGAGAAGGCAAAAGGTTCTGGGGACTGAATAGTAGCAAGTAATATCCGCATTCAATCTCCTTTTAATTTCCTCCTGAATGAGGTTTTGATTTGTTACAGTCATTCCCAAATATGTTAATTGTGCCACATTTTCAAAATATCTGTTACCTATCATTATGTAATGCTTTTGCCCTGCAGTCTGGTGATGAGACAGCAGTTTTCTCTGTGTTTACTTCTAGACCAACCTCCTTAATAGTGTCAATTAAAGTTTCTGTGTTTTTCTTTATGTTATCTATATTGTAACCCAGTAGATTCACATCATCAGTATAGACAAACAGCTGATGTGTCCCATTTAATTTCAGCCCCAACTGGTTCTTGTGGACCTTCCTAATGGCATATTCTAAAGCAAAGTTGAAAAGCAGGGGTCATAAAGCATCTCTCTGCTGTAGACCATTCTGGATAGGAAAATTATCAGACAAATGATTACCTATATGGAGTTTACTATAGGTTTTGTTTAAAAACATTTTAATCAGCCTAACTAGTTTCATGTGTACTCCAAACTCTATGAGGATGCTGTACAACTCTCTCCTCCTAACTGAACCATAGGCTTTCTTGAAGTCTATGAATAGCTGATGTACTGTCTCAGTGTACTTCTCAAAGTTTTATGGAATCCTACAGTTTTGGAATCTGTGCTTTCTATCAGTAAAGTGGTTTCTTGGGGGAGAAACAAACAGCATAAAAATGTTTAATTTCCAAAATAAATTTCAGGAAAATTGCTGGTAACTTGATTTCAGTAAATTAATATGAGTACCAACTTGGTGGTTGAGAAAATACTTAACAACAACATTTCTCTCTGAATATCTATAGCATGACCACAAACCTAGCTATGAATTTCAATATGCAGGCAAAAATATTAAAAATTCTATATGTTTTCATGAAAAGAAAGTTCCAGTTAATTAAATAATAGCAGAGGAGAAAGTTACAATACTGATGCTGCCTGGTAATTTACATAAACTATTAATATATAAACATCTGAAGAGATGATGATGTGAATAAATCCTGTGATGAGGGAAATACAAATTTTATACTTAGTGAAATGAGAATGAATATGCACTGAATCTACAGCACATTGTAATAAGAAGATGAAAAAAAAAATGGTATAATGTTTGCTCCAGCAGAATGTTCATAACCAGACCTTCAAACTCTTCCACTTAAATGAGGCCATACATCAAAAGCAGAGCATAAGGACATGCAATTATATCACAGAAAGTGATGACATAGGAGGTAGTGGTGTGGAATAAGTGCTTGTAATTGCAGAATAACACATCGAGCATTATGTGGGGGGAATGTATTCAAGCAAATATTCAAATATGATTATATTATTTAATAAGCTATTTTCTTTCTTCCTCCCTTCACCAGTACAAGCCTAGAAAGAGTGACAGCATGTGAGAAGTATTTTATTACACCTGAGTTATACAATCTCGACCCTTATTAACTTTTGATAACTTCAATGATGAAACAGATAATTCTCTTACTAACCTTACACTTTCCAACTACTTGTTTATTTTAACACTTAAGTCATAACTTAAAATGCACACAAATTCTGAATAACACACTACACATTGACTACTAAACTAAACATGGCGTCGTCATAAAATAGTTAGGTTATGTTTCTGACTGTATTTGAAATCTCCCTCTGAAAAAGCGGGAGCTTCTGGGGCGCCTTCCAAATTCTGTGATGAGTTGATATGTTTCTGGGCTAGATTTAGCGTATCGGAATGGAACTATGGTACTTTTTTCCCTACTCAGATAAATCTCAAATTGGATTGGATGTACACAGACCACCCACTTGCGGGTACTTCAATGTCATCCTACTTCAGATATAAGGCTAACCGGCTATGAACAGCTGTCGCATTCATCGTCTCAACTAAATACAAAACTATTCAGAAATATTTTCACACATGATTAACGCAATACTCACAGTAATTTAAACTCCCAACTACGAAACGTGTTCTCTGCCTGATCGGAGTGGCCATCAGTGTCGGTGCGTTTCCTTTATGCAACCAAGTTCACATCTACCGGCTACGACTGCTGCTCCACTATTATATTTTTATTGATAGTTCAATACCTAAGTAATTTATACATCACAATTTAATACTGAATAGTAGTAAATAATATAATTAATTTCTGTCAATAAATCGGCAACCTTTACACTCAATACAAATTAATTAATTTATGATAGTGCATGAAAAACGTTCTTAAATGTTCCAATGTTCAGCATAATTTTCAAACCCAATCGTAAGATGACGTGGCTTTCTTAACGAAGTAATACTACGTATACCAGTGCGCACACGAAATTTAGAATAAAATTTATTCTATCAAGTGCGATTTGTCATTGTTTCAATGTTGTGCTGCAACGTTACAATCAATAAAA